ACAGTTGAGCTTCTGCATGATCTGTTGTAAAGACATTTCATTTGTCTTTGTAATTATCTTATATTTACTTTCTTAAACATGTCTCTTCTGAAGTGTGAAAATTTTGATGTGATGTGATCAAGAAGTAGCAGTTACTTTGCACGTTTTCGCACTTTGCTGCTGAAACTCTAGGAATGATCTCCAACTTACTAGCGCATTATGTTCCTTTTCTCTATAGAAGAAATGTAGCAAATGTAAGATATGTGGTTCAGTATTTGGAAAGGCAGATAGTCAAGGAAAGATTGTGAGCAATGGTTTTTGATGGCCTGAATGTGGATGGTGCTGAAGATCTTATTCAGATGCGTCGTCACTTGTATATCCTGCATATTTTTCATCTTATTACTGTGGAGAGAGCAGTCTTCCTATGTGAAGCTGAAAAAAACTATCCTTATTTTCTTGGATTAGTTCACATCTGCCACAGAATACTGGTGTTTTTTTTAGGGAAAAGATGTTGCTTCGGAGGATTTGCATGTTCTTTTTGGAGTGCTTCCAAGGTAATTGTTTACCTAATTGAAGTCAGAATAAGTACCTAAGGAATAGGACAATAAAATAGTCTTTGATGAATTAGCTAACATCTGAAAATATGAAGAGCAGATATGCCAAGTTTTTTTTTGTTTTTATGTTAAAATTTTTTTGAGAAGTTATAAAATCAGGCTGTAGTAGTCTTGGAATTCCCCAGCTGTATGAAGTGGATTATATTGTTGAGAGCAAAATGAGTTACTGATGAATAAGTTTGCTTTATGTTCAGGTCACTTTTAGAGAGCACCAGCTAAGACCTGTAAAATGATTCAGTAATGAGTAATGATTCAGTAATGATACAGGTTATTGATAGCTGGAGAGAGAAATWGTGTCAGGAGAAACTTGTTTGGAAATGTTTTTCGTTTTTCAGGGCTAATATAATGAGTATGTACCATCTGTAGAAATTTTATGTACTGAATATTCCAGCATACTCRTTTTTAGTTTTGACTAACATGCTGGTGATTTGGCATATTTCTGTTCCTGGAATTTGAAAAATTATAATGTAATATTTAATTGAGTGCAGTGAATCTTCTAACAACTTTCTAGTTCAGAGTTTGTTTAGGAAAATGTTATAAAAAATAAAGCTATGGATCTACTTTTTGTAATGTAAGTCATTGGAATAGCAACTCAACTTCTTTGGAAGTTATGAATTCATATGAAGGCCTGAAGTGAAAATAATTAAATCTACTCTTCAATCATTAAATAGTAATTTTTCATTTAAAATAAACAATGGAATGGACTAAATCATATATAATTTTTGGAGATTTTCTAAGTCTCTAGAATTCTGACAAATTCTATCTGTTCTTCATGGTTAGAAACTATTGTCCTAAACTTTCAAGTAATTTTCAGTCCTGAGCCTGTTTGCTGTGGATTTGGGGTTTCATAGATAGTTTCTCTGTTGCATGGAGACRTGTATATAAAAATGAATTAAAATGATGCCGTAATTTAGAGCTAAACTAAAAAGAACACCTTAATCTTTCCATGAGGCTTACAAAAATACAAATAGTTGATTAGATATTTAAATTCTGTAATGATGATCTCACAAGCTCTTGTTCTAGCTTGGTTTCAGATTTGTAGTATGMATTTCAGATTTTCTACTCTGTTTTTAAAGGAGCTTTGTTGGATGAAATCTTTTATTATTTTCTCTGTCATCCAAATATATTTGTAACATTCAGRTGAGTGCTGGAAAGTGAACCTGATTGTTCTCCATCTCAAGTAAGGGCTTTGTAGTAGGTTAAATATTCCATAAAAACTACGTGTAATGTTAGAGAGAAAATCTCTCGGAAATGTGTGGCAGAGGCACCAGGAACTTTCTCTGCACTCTTCTAGAAGGCTTGAGGAGAAGCTGTGTTGCTAAATTACTGTCTGTGCCAAAAATCATGAGCCTTTGGGATTAGAAGTATGTGAACAAAGACACTTGAGAAGTGGGAAGCTGCAGAAGTATGAAAATGCCGGGAAGCTAAGTGAATTTTAAATGCCTTGTGCTTAAACAAGGAATGTTTCATTACTGCCTTTTGTAAAAGAATAAAATATCCTGTTTTGGAAGGGACCCAAAAGAATCATCATATCCAGCTCCTGGCCCTGGACAGCAATCTCTTTGAGTATTCATGGAGGAAACCCATCAGGCCCCATAGATTCATAGGGATTCAGTTGGAACAGCAGATCCCACACACATTCAGGGTTGACTGGGATTTTGTCATTCTCACAGCTGTGGTCCTCCAGCCAGGAGTATTAAGGCTTTCTTGATTGGTCCTCATTCTTGAAGACAGAAGCAAAGAAAGCATTCAGCTTCTCTCTGCCTTGTTGCTGTCCCTGTTTCTGAGATGACCACCCTGATTCTGTAGTGGGCTGTTTTTTTTCTGGTTGTCTTTTGCCCTTAATGTATTTGAAAAAAAACCCCTCTTTTATTGAACCCCCACAGTTCTGGCAGCCTCAACTCCAGTTGGGCTTTGGCCACCTTGAGGTGGTAAACAGCATCTCTGTATTCCTCCCATGCCACCAGACCTTGCTTCCAGTGGGCATACACATGACTTTTTTGACTTATTTCCAAGAGAAGATCCCTGCTCAGCCAGTCTGGTCTTCTGCCTCCTCTGCTTGACTTCCAACAGTTTGGAACTGCCTATTCCTGYGCTCTTAGGAGGTTGTGCTTAAAAATGACTGGATGTGATGGACCCCAGCACCCTGAAAAGAATTTTCTCTGGGGACCTTTCTGGTTCCTGGAACAGCCTGAAGTCAGCTCTTCTTGTTCCCAGGGCTGAAATTTTGCTGGCACTTTTCCTTCTGACTACAGAGATTTTAAACTCAATTGCTTAGTGGTCACTGTGACCAAGGTGGCCACCAGTCACCATTTTTTTCATGAGATCCTCTCTGTTAGCAAACATATCAAGGAGAACACCTTCCTAGCTGGCTCCCTTAGCAGCTGTATCAYGAGGTTATCCAGATGTTTTAGGAATATTGTGGATCTCTTTGTGCCAGATGTGTGATGCTCCTAGTTAATATCCCACATGTTGATGTATCTGTAAGGACAAGGACAGTTGTTTTGAAAGTGTCCCTTAGTTTCTTAAAGAATATTTCACTGGCATCATTGTTCTGGCTAGGTGGCCTATAGTAGATGCCTGTGATGACATCTGTATGTTTGTTTGTCCCTTAATCCTCACTTAGAGACTGTCACSSTGCCATCAYCAGCTTCAGGGTCTGTATGTTCCAGCCCGTCCASCTCTCCTGCCCTGCCTGTYCCTCCTGAAGAGCCTGTGACCATCCACCATGGCACTGCAGTCACAGGGCTCATCCCAACAGGTTTCACTTATTCCAGTGATGTTCCTCATGCTGCGTGTTTTGATATAGAGGCATTTCAGGTGTGGTGTGTTGTAGCTGATGCCTCATAAACCAGGTTAAGGATCTCATTAGTACTCAGTTCCTTGAGTTTGGCATAACATTCCCTATTTTATCACTATCGAACTTATTTATGTCCTTTTCCTTCTTCCAATRTAGTTTAAAGCTCTTATCAATTTTTTATTTTCCTCTATAGCTCTTTTGCTACTGTGTGCTTTTCTTAAAAGTAGAGAAAAATGTTAGTGTACTTATACGAGCAGTGATACAGGATCTTGTAACTAAAATGTGAAAGGTAATGTTACCTAAGGGAGCAGTTAGGGTTGCATCTTTGATTTAAATTTATCACTCCTGGGCAGTGGAATGCTCTATTTAGCTACTTTAATATTCTCTTAATTAGTTTATTTAGGTGTAAATCTGAAACAGAGAAAGGAATGAAGTAGCTAGTAAGTTTTTGTTTTAAAGGTGACTTGCCCACTTGAATGCAGACATTATTATGACAACACTTTGGAATATGTAGCTAGCATATCATTACAGTGGTGCTCCTACTGCTGCTATAGGATTAGGCATTTGAGCAAAGTATGAGTAAAGAAGGTACTGGAATGAGCTATTCTTTTATTCTGCCTTATATAGTGTCCTAGAGAGAAGTTGTTGCTCAGAATATGGTTCTTATGTGGCATATAGTCTTCAGTAGTTTTAATTGGGACATTTTCAAACCGAGATTTAGAGATGTGTAGATTTATATCTCTGCAGGTGTGTGGTGTGTGACTCTTGTCAGTCAGCTGAAATCCTGTTGTGACTTTTCTTCACTGTGYCTCTCCTTATTTTTCAAGCAGTCTCTCTAGAGTGGTTGGAAAARTCTATCAAATTACATCAGAAAATGAAACCTCTGATAGCTGTTGTTAGTTGTGCATATCAGTTACTCTGAAGTTTCTTGCTTTCTTCCAGTCTTGTTGTACRTTTTTTCTTCACTTGATATGGATTTAGTTTATAATTGAGATCTAATTACTTTTCCTTCTGTGTAATACCATTTTGACCTTTTTTTGATCGCTTCTTTTGCCTTCTTTTTMGCTTTATACTTAAACGTAGTAATTTCACTCCTATGATGTTGCTTTGTTAACTTAGCTTTGATGGTGTGTTTGCTATTATCCTAATATTTAGTAATATACTTTTCTAACAGTGATTTAAATTGTAACAGTATTCTCTGATACTGGGCCACAGCTTATGGTTTAAGTGTGCTCATTTATGTAGGCAGAGATGAAAAATGAAATTTAAACAGAAAATCACGCTGTGAAATGAGGGCAGGGATGGCGTTTTTCAGACGGATTACGTATAACTATCACATAGCAAGAAAAGGATTTTGCAAGTAATTAAAAATGTTTACACAGTATGTATTCCTTTTCCACTTCAGATGGTGCACACTTCTGAATGATGTCTGACTTCTGAGCCTTAAAAATTATGTTGAGTCTTTGAGAAAAAATTGATGAATCTTCCTTAACAGTCTTAAGAAAACAAATGCAAACTTTACTTTCATTCTATATCASAAGTTTTTACATGCCAAGGTAATTGCAAACACTACAATATCTCTTTGYCTTTTGGTGCTTTTCCTCTAGAATGTGAGCATTATGATGAAGAAAAGGTATTGCCATCGACGGTGTAACGCTGTCATAGGTAAGTGCAATGCAGATGAATAAAGCCATATATTTTTAAGGTAAATACATCATAAAATGTTATACAGGAACTTCAATATGAAGAAAGTCATAAGTGCTATCCTTATTTCAAGTTAGTTGCAGAGGATTTTATTAGGAAAATGCTTTAAGAGAACACTTGTGTCCTTGAGAAACTGTGACAGGAATGCTTGCATGTCTTTCTTTGTGTAGCAAGTATCTTATAAAAGGTATTAATTTCAATTTATATAAGAAAGCTTGCATATAATGTAASTGGAATATCTGTTGTTTAAACAGGAGCAAAGGGAAGTTACTGTGTAATAGATTTGTCCATATAGTAGACAAATGTCTGGAAATCAAAATTGATGTTGTTCATAATGTATTTGGTGCACTAAAAATTCTAGGATTGTTTATTGTTAATTCACACTTAAGGAAGCAGTAGGATATGGAACATAAGTATTCCTTGGTACCTAAAATATATATCCATTCTGTTGCATCAAATGTGTTGACCTTCTTTGTAAGAACTGAATAGTGACCTTGAATTTCTACTTCAAGACAGCTAATGTCTAGCTTTCTTTTTCTTCCCATTTGGTAGTGGAGTGGGTGAGGGAAGATTACCTTTTGCTTCCCATTGAGTCTGTTCCTCTGATATTTGTGGTTTAGAAAGTGACTTTAGGGTGTCTGGTGGTAGTGCTTCAGCCTGCAAGATTATGTAGTAATGTGCCTGTCTTTTTCTCTTAAACACTTCTGTCTACTCCAGTAAAACACCCCAGCATTCATTAGTCACTGTTAAAAGTCCTTTTCCCTGGCACTAAGCAAGTTGTATTAGATTGGAATCTGCATTTGTATTTTTTGATTGCTCTCAGAACAAGTCTTCTGTTCTCCCTTTCACAGTATTGTGGTCATGTTTCTTTGCCGAACAAATTTTCCATGTACTTCGTTGTTCAGGTATTAGGTTAGTCAGCTGTTGATTAATTATTTTTAAATGTTGTCTAGTTATAACCATCTAACATACATGCTATAACTATGTATGGTTTAGCAGATGCAGTTAGTCAGTTGACTGTTCATATTATTTGGTATATTTTCGCTACTAGCTCTTTGGTTTTTGAAATTTTGTAGTAAGCTATGATGTGAGTAATAATTTTACCTTGTGAGAAATGGCTCTTCAGCTCAAAGTGGTTAAAATAAACTACAGGTGACTACCTTTAAAATAGSCTGCTGCACGTGAAATACACTTTTACAGAGGATGTTTTCTTTTACTACAGTGTATTCCCAACATTGAACCAAATGTGCCAAAATAATTTTGGACAGGTATTTAACTCATTGTAGAGTTTTGCCTGTGTAAAACCTTCTAAATTACTGGGTTTTATGCCTCTGTCATCAAATAGAAAACAATATCCAGTGTTCTTATAGCTGAGATTTAAAAAAACCCRTATGTTCTCTTACAGTTTTTTATTGCAATAGCTAAATAACATTGTTTTTGCTGAAACCCACATAGGAAGTAATGTCTGGGCAATGTGCTATACAAGGGAGAAGGGGACCAGGGAAACAAATGTATGACTTAAGTATAGTAGGGAAGTGAATAAGGAGTAGATAAATAAATATAGTTTGTTTTTAGATTCTAGGAGTTACTGTAAGAAATCAAGTGTTCTTGCTGTGAGTTTATAAATTGTTCATCTCAGAAATTATAATTCAGAAAATACCATATATTTGTGTAACTTTAGTAACTGAAGCTTGACTGTTTACGTAAAACAACAGCTATTATTTGAGAGAAAATAAAAAAAAATGCTTTCTTTTGCAGAGCTGGCGTAAGGTGGAGTGCRTGTGTCCAAGTGTCAATTTTAAGTGTGTTTATTCAGGAAGAAGTTGTATAGTACTTTTTTTGTTGCTTATTAAGAAATAACTGTTGCATGAAGTGTTGAAATTTTAGCACACTTAAGTCACACTAATACCTCTTGCCATTACATACTAGAATCAGAGGCTTTAACCTTAAAGTAGTGCTTTTCATAGTCTTCTAGGCAAATGTAATTAGTTATAATGTGATTGTGTGACTAGTTGAAGGAAGGGTAATTTTGTACAAGAATCTTAGTGTCTTGAATAACATTTGTTTTTCTTTTGACAGAATTCCTGTGAAGACTAGGAAATTTTGCTGTGTGTGCATTCTGGAAATACATTTTACTGCAGACACTACCRAGGCTTTGCAAACAGGATAAATATGCTGCTGTTGACTGCTTGCTGACAGTAACCAGCTGGGCATTTCACTCATGATGTTTTTATTCTCACATTGTCCAATTGGAGTTTACTTATACTGATTTTTGAAAACAGAAATAAATCAAAGTGGAGTACCGTAAGCTTGACATGGAGAATAAAAAGAAAGACAAAGACAAGCCAGATGAACGAATGACACGGCCTAGTGGAAGATCAGGCCATAATTCGCGTGGAGGTGGTTCTTCAAATTCTGGAGTGTTAATGGTTGGCCCTAACTTCAGAGTTGGTAAAAAAATTGGATGCGGTAATTTTGGAGAACTTCGGTTAGGTAAGATCCGTGTTTCTTTATTTCAGTTTGCATCATTAATTTACATCCTGCAGTCTAGGCATGCAAACCTCTGTATGAATACCATGCAAATCTTCAAACTGCTTTAAAGCTTCAGATATGCAAGGCATATTTAACCCATTTTTTGTGGCTTTACCCAAACCTGTGCAAGCTCGATGACATGAATAATGTCTATTAGCAGGATAGTTTCTGGGACTAAAATGTTTTCTAACAACTTGCAGTTCTCCTAAATTCACTCATGTTTCTCTTCCAAGATGCTGTAGCTGTCTTTTTTGTCATCCTGAAGTAGTTTGTTGAGGTATATTTAGGGCTAGATGTATGTGGGACCCATCCCTCTCCTCTAGGTCAGGCAGTATCTCTTGGAAATAATGTACCAGGCACTACAATGTTTTTTAATGGCAGTGAGCATGGAAATTGTTTGGTTTCTTTTCTAATGTAGTGAGGCTAAACATTGAGTTGCTGTAAAACAAGACAGTGAGAATCCATCTGTAGAGAAAATCTGGTATAATTCATTCACTCTAGTTCTCTGCTGAACAGGTTGAAAATCATATGGTGGAGAAGGCAAACTGAGAAGGACCTATTGGGCAGCAAAACTGGAAATATTACTATTTATTAAAATAAGCACTGATGGATGTGTGCTTTTGGAAGACTGTAGGTTTAGTTTTGGGGACTTGTAGTTCCAGGATGGACAGTATTATTAGCCAGGGTTTTCAAAATGTGTAAATTCTGAGTGTGTTAGCAAATATGACCTGACACTTAGTGGCAAAAATTTGTTCTAGTATTGTTACAAGGCTTGAGCTAAAGTGCTTCACGCATTAAATAGAGGTGGGTTTCAAACTTGGATATTTGAGAGGAGGTTGGGCTGTGTAGGTGTTGTTTCTATTGATTTTTGCTGTGGTAGAACTAATACTGATTACCCTTCAGATAGCATTCCTGTTATAGTAGTTTCATAAAATATGATATGTTTTTAATATTGTGCATTCTGGGGCTGTCAGGATATAGGCAAGCTTAACAAATTTAATAACAAATAATATTTAATTTTTTATTAATAAGAGGTATTAATAGAAATAGAGGTATTAATAAGAATATTGCTGCAGCTCTGACTGAGGGCRCTGCATTTTAGAGTGTCAGTAATGGGTTGTTACTGGTGTACTGTATAACTCTTACCATTACTATTAATTGTTAAAAAAAATGGATACAGTTTGACTTGTAAGTGTTGCATGTGTGCCTTTCCAGTCCACAAATCAAGATGAAAAATTAGTCTTCCTCACTTCCAAAACTTTTGTGTCCTGCTTTCAAATAATATTTTTTTTGTTTCAAGCCTCTTAATGAACTAAATTCAAACCAGCAAGATTTATTTTGTATAAAGGCAACTGCAAACCACTAAAGTTAATTTTTTACCTGTTATTTCAGTCACGAGGTACAGAGCTGATGAAAAATTAATACATGATTAACTCACTTACTTTCAGCCAGTGTGAAACAATGTATTTAATTTGAAATATAATATTAGATTAGTTACAACTTGTAGTTTGATAGTACTGAAATAAAATGTAACAAATAAGTAAAAGAAATACGAAGGTTATAGGGCAGTGTACTGTACTACAAGTCACCAGGGCAAGTGCAGCCTTTCTCATTTTAAGGTGGGTTTTGCATWTATATTTGCAGATAGTTGCATATATATTTGTAGATATTTCAAATCCTTATTTATTGTTTTTTAGGTAAGGAGTTTGAAATGTAATTTAGTGAAAGCGGGAGTTACTGCTATTGTAGATTTAATTTTTCTTTCATTTACTTTGCTAYAGTAGTAGCAAAGTAGTAGTACTACCCTTTCTACAAAGATGTATGCAAGCACTTTATTTTATGTGCTTCTGCAAATGGGAATGTATTTTGAGCGTATGTCCTAAGGTTAAACCTGAGAGACCTAAGGGAAGAATAAAGTTCTAGAGTGGTGAAGTTGCACTCAGAAGATAAAAATTCAGTTATATATCAGTAGCTGTATTAGTGCATCCACGTGAGAAGAAAGCAATGGTCAGACTTCASTAGTGGCTTGTGGATCAAATGGTAAATTGACCCTGTGTAGCAAATTACTGTCTGTGATGTTCAGCCATTAACTTGTAAAGGACTAAATTGGTTTGGATACTGAGCTGTTAATTTTAAGGCTCTTTGTTATAGCTAAGTTAAACTGATATAATTAAGATAAACTGATAAGGTAGTGAGAGAGAACTTGTTGCTGTTGCAAGTGATGCATTACTTAATGCCTGTGTGATCAACAGTGGTGTCATATATATGTGTCTGCTGTATTTTAAAGAGACAATTGTTTTGAGTGACCACCTGGAAAGTTAGTGTTCCTTCTGATGATACTTCAGAATAAACATGTCATTACGGCTTTTGGAACTCAATATCCAGTTACTTAACTGTAACTGGATTTGTTACTTAATCCTAGTAGGCGATTTAAATATCTTTGAGATGGAATGAGCAGGGCTCCTGCAAGAGTTTCTTTTAGCGTCTTAGAGATTGTAATACCAAAGACACAGAGACAACTTCAAACCAAGTAGGCGTTTTATCAAAAATAGCTGATACGAAAATGAAATAAGAAATATGTATTTAGGATGCCTGGATTTCTACTCTAGCATAGGGCTTGGAATATACATCATTCTGGTGGATAGATTATGGCATACTGTTCATATTGATTTTATGTTATTGTGCAGCCCTCAGGTAATTCATTTTTTTTGTGAAGCTGATCCACTAAGAGATGCATGTTTTTAATGCATCTTGTTTCAGCTTTTCAAGAGTACTTGATTTCTCAAAAGACCAGTTAAACCTGAAATCATAGTCTTTGGTAGTCAAAGCATGGTACTAATAACATGAAGATTGTGGGTTCAATCCCTGACAATGAATTAGACACACTGATCCTTGTGCGTCCCTTCCAAATCTGAATATTTTATGATTCCATCTAACTGTCTTCACAGGGAACTTTTAAGACATGGTCTGACAAAATTGAGCTAAACATGGGCAAATCAGACCTGAGTAAGACAACAGAGAAAAAAAGTAGTATCATCATTAAAAGTAATATGCACTAAATGCATTTGAAGATTGTAAAAAAGTGTTATTTTTTCTTTATCTGTTATTTTTTAATTTTACATCTAGGAAACATTAGTCATTGCATACAGTTTGAAGTAATGCTTATTGAAAAATTCTTATCCAGTTACAGAACTGCTTTTAAAGCAGCAGATGTCTTTTCCAAGTGGTATAAGCTTATCAGTAATGTTGTCCTGTCCTAACTTTTAGCTTAGTAAATGACATAATTGAGGAAAAAAATAGTCCTACTTAGTTCTAATTTTAATTAGTGGCCAACATTTCAAAATTATATGGCAAATTTAAAATAAGTTTCCAATAGTTTTCAGCAATAATTACAAAAATGTAGAGTATTGCATTCTAGTTATAGGGATTTACCAGTTTTCAAGCTTTTTTAGTACATAAAAATTTCACAAGCTTGGTGAATAGCTGAAGCTGTGTGTAAAATTTCCATCTCTTACACTATTCAAGGAAAAATCCTTTTTAAAGTAAGGTATTAGACTAATAAACCCACATTTCTTAAGTTGCTGCCAGAAAACCTAGCACATTAGATGAAAAATGTTTTGAAGACTTTCTTGATGTTTAAATGGCATTTTGCTTGAACAGAAAAACTGATGTCTCACATTCTTGTTTTTGTTCTTTTTTCAAGGAAAAAATTTATACACGAATGACTATGTGGCAATTAAACTGGTAAGTTAATATTTTTAAAAGGAGTTGGGATGACAAACTAATCAGATTTTTCCTTTCAGATGTTAATGGTTTGATCTCTTTAATTGAAACCTTTAATAGTCTTGTATGATTTCATCAAACTAGATAAAAGCAGTTAGTGATAGATGTAATTATATAGATTGGCCATATTGAGTAAAACCAGTTTTTAATGATTGTCACTGTGTTCAAGGCTAAACTATATTTGCAAAGTCACATGCAAAATGATGGTTTAATGCTGCTTCAATGATGTGCTCTGCAGCAAGCATCTTAGTAGATTCCTTTATTCTCCAACGAGTAGTGGAATAAGAAATTTGCTATGAATCTTAACATTAGATGACTACAGAGAAACTCCAGTGTTTTAATGTACCCACTCCTGCCCCAAACTGTTCTTCATTTCTAACTGTTGGTATTTGCACATGACTTTTGGTAGACATTTTTTATTTGCAATGTTGTGTAATATTTTTCTTCACTTGCAAACATCATACATCTGGATTTTGTGCTAATTTTTTCATCAGAACTACTTTGGTAACACTGTAATTTGCTTCTGGTTACTTTTAAACCTCTTGGTAAATGACTGTATTCATATCCGAAGTATTTCAAAATAAAGATCCGTTTTTTTTTTTTTTTTTTTTTTTTCATTGAGGGAATTTTAGGACTCCAGTTAATTTCTTGTTGTTGCAGTAGCACAGTACTTTTTACATAGTATAATATAGTTACATAAAATCAAAGGGAAACTGTGGGAACAGAAATGCATGGCTTTAGATAAGAAATCTAAAAAGTATGGCAGACRTATAATGAACTCCTGAAAAATACCGGTATCACTCCTTGCTTAGTAAAATATTTACTTTGGGAGTAGGAACATGCAAGTTATGGCTTGAGAGAGCAACAGTTTGGAGGGTTGTTGTCTGTTAAATCAGATTTAAACTCATTGTGTTTTAACATGAGCTTATTCTGTATGTCTGGAGAAGCTAGAGAGTAGTCTGAGAATTCTTCTAGTTAAAGGCTGTGTAATGCAAAGCACATTTAGAAATACTTTGTACAATAGTGATTTTTTTTTAAGCATTAATTACTTGATCATATGGAGCAAGTGCTTTTTTTATGTGGTTGATTTTGGTGTAAACATTTTTATTACATGTGCCACTTAGTAAGCTTGGCTACTGTTTCAGCCCATTTCAGCTATCACACATGATACTGTTCTGTGGCAACATTTACTTTTTTGGTTTCCAAATAGCTGAATATTAGAGCTGCTTCTTTCCACCTGAGTGAAAAGCTTGAAGTAACTCTATTGARTAACTTAGTTTGAAGTCACTAAAGAATTAATATAGTTAAGTGTGCAATTCACTACTAGTGCTTAAAGAACTCCTGCATCTGTAATTAACTTTTCCAGTTACCCTCCTACATTAGTGGCATGAAAAGCTATAATGTCTTTGCAGTGAAAAACAGATGAAGTAACCATAGTAAAAATCACCACTGGATCTTGTATCATCATAGTAGGATAAAAGTACATTTATTAGCAGGTAGAACTAGTGGATCCTTTTACTAAGGTGCTCCCTTTTTTGCTTCAGTATGTATTTCATGTCTTTTAAACTTACTTCTAGGTTGAAAGGATTTGAGTTACACAGTTCAGCTTGCTAAAAGCAGCTGCTTCAAATTGTAAGATATATTTGGGTTTTGCATTTTTTTCTGTTTTTTTCCCATTTGAGACAGTGCGACGACCTTATTGTAATAATCAGATACAGTGGCATATCATCCTTTCTCTTTTTAAATAAAAGCTTCTGTTTTCTCTGGCACTTGTACTTTCGTGCTTTCAGAGCATTCATTAGGTCTATGCTTAGTCTTTGTTTCATTATTGTAAATGAAGCACTCCTAACTTCCTCGTTGTTCTGCACCTCTTCTAGTTCAAGTTCAACCTACCTGAATGCAGTTACTTCAAGTGTGTTATAGTTTGAGCAGTTACCCTTGGCAGGTGTGGTTGTGGTAATATCTCCTGCAGTGTCCTAAATGGTGTTTGCATTCCTCATGGTAGCATTTAATTTGACCTACTGCTATCTTGTGTTCAGCAAGACATCTCTTATGCCAAATGTTTTCTGTATCAATGGTAACCATATACTCGCGTGCAGGGAACTGTGTGGGTTTCTCTCTCTGTGTTTATACAGTGACTTTCAGGAGTGCTTCTCATGTTAAAAGTGTTTGACTCAAAAGAGCACTTGTAAAAAACTTTTTAATTGTGTTGAATTATTATTTCCCTTGTGAACAAAATTATACAAGCAWTTTCCTGTTATGWTTCTTGGGGCAATTTCAGGACTTAKGTAACAAAGTATCTTAAATATTTTCTATGTGAGGTCTGAGGGTCATACAATATATGTGTTTTAATGTGTACTGTTCATATGTAAATGCATATTTATTTTGATAAAACAGCTACAGTTCCAGAATCTTAATCTGGTTTATTTCATTATGGCCTGTTCTGTTTGGGGACATGGTCAAATTTAAGAGGTCAGGATAGATTTTTTTCAAAAACTAGAATGAAACTCTTTTAAGAACTGGGTTTACCAGTTCTGCACTGTGTAGTGGTGTTTGTATGTTTCTGCTGGTCTTTTAGTACACAAATTGATTTCTTGTGATTTTAGCAATAGCTATTTGGTGTGTAAGAATTCTGCCTTTCTGACTCACCTCTTCATTTRTTGTTAGATTTACTACTTTATTACATGACCCTGTACTTGACTTAGACTTCCTATTCACTATTCAGCTTTTCCCTCTCCTTCATTGTTTTCCCCTTTCCCTTTGACATATTTCTCCACTGCTCAAACTTAACTTCCTCTGCAGATGCCTAACCACTRTCAAAAGACCAGCTAAAGGAATTTCTGCTTGAGCATGTCATGACCCATCAGTAGGGGCCATGATGTTCATTATAAATTCTCGTCAAGGTTGAACAAAAACGCTGGACATTCTTTAGGGAGCTCTTGTGCTTTTTTTGTGTGATTGCCTTGTGTCCAGCAACCAGCCCATTATTTAGACTTGAAAGGTGTTGGCTACCAAGCCCTTATATTTGTACAGCAGAGTTCCACAAGTGCTGGTTAACAAACCTGCAATTTTTACAGTACTCTTTAATAAGCTCTCAACTCCCACAACACACTCCTCAAAGGTGCTGCCTCACAAACCACAACATACTTCGACGGCTCCCCACTCCCACAATAAACTTCAGTATGGAGCATGGAATAGAACATGCGAGCTGTGCTTTGCCCAAACAGAGCAAGGGAAAATAGAAAAGTGGGAAAGAAAGAGAACAAAGAATATCACCAGTCCTTAGATCCTGCACTGGTCTCACCATGTGGCTGACCCACAGCAGGAACTGTGACACAAAGTGAAAGAGAGAAAATAAGAGTAAGGGAGCCCAATCTGCTTCCTTTCATAGTTAACCTGGTGCAGCCCCTGTTTTGTTCTTGAATGCATAGGCAGTCCTTGGAGCACTCCTCCAGGGGATGAGCCCTGGTGGGGGACTGTACATGAGTCTCCAGGTGGAGCAGAGAGTTGGCTCAGCACAGCTTTGCCGCACCTCAGTGAGACCCCCTCTTCCAATCACAGCTTGCCTGTCAGAACAGTCAGAATGGTTGAGACAAAATATGCTTATGCCAAGTCCTCCACACCACCCAGTGGCTCAAACATTCCCCACTGTTGATTGGTCATATGGCTTATCTTTAGCTGTGGTCCTCTCTACATAGCAGGCAGAGGGCTCTAAGTAAGAGGGGGTCAGAGGAGGTCTTCATGTCAAATGTTACAAGTAATAAACATCACAGCAAACTTACCGGCAACAGAAAGAATCTTAACTTCTTTCTGTGCGAGGCTGGGCATGGCAAGGAAAAGCCCTTGGCTGTGAGGCTTCATACTTTTACAGATTCTCATATTAGCTCCTAAACTAAGTTGGAGTCTTACTACAATAGTTCATATTTAACGGGATGAAGGTAAAAAGGACACACGGCTTAAGCAGTGGCTCTAGATACAAATTATAAAAGAACGGTAACATGCAGTCAAGATGCCTGATGTTAGTATCAGTCATTGCTTTGCCTGGTCCAAAACTGTGGTTAAAAAGAAGGCGCTATCCATTTGGTGTGAACGCAGTGTTCTTTAATTGGTAGGTACCCACAAATAGCTGCTGAAAGGCATCTTAAGTCGCTGCTCTAGTAGTGAATAAATCTGCTTTGCCCTGGTTGTGCTTAATTGGATTTTTATCATTCCTTTTGTGAAAGATAAAATTGATTTTTTTTCCCATGGTCTATTCCTGTACCACTGGAGCAGTAAAGTGGCTGCTATTGTGGAACTGGGCTTGGGTAAATAACTGAACCACTGTTCTAAAACTTTGTGCTTTTGCTTGTGCCTGCACTAATAACCTTCATCTTTGAGGTGGGATTTTGTAGACATCATCCCTCTCCTCATTTAACTTACCTTGCAATAACTTTGATATTTTGGTCACCCTATACAACACTATTTTGGTAGCAGTTTGCTGACTCTGACCATGATCTGTGGTTTCAGTTTTAACTAGGAGTCCAGAGTCTAAATCCTGCAATTTGTCATGAAAGATTCTGTCATACACATCTCGAAGCTGCGCCTGAAGCCTTATATGATCATGCTCGACAGTAAACAGCCCTTCTGCCTTCAGCCTCTTTTCCTGATAGCTCTCAGCAGCAAACAACACCTTCTCCTGAGGTCTGCTCTCCCTCTCCCAAGAGCAGGAGAGGGAATACCAATACCAATTGGTATTCCTTGACCAATAGGAAGCCCACTGGATGAGGGACCAGGGTTCATAAGGATCATTTACCCTTACAAAAACCCTCCCAGTATCCCCAGGCCTCCACTTCTACAGTTTCTTTCTGCTCTACAGTAGCTGCTGCCTGCAGTTCTGTCTTTCCTATAGCCGCTTCTCTGGCTTCAGCCTTTTCCACAGCTGCCTTTGACACCTTGCYCAGCACTCCTGTGGACCTCTCTTT